AATCGATTTCCGTTGGACCAATGATCCCGGAGGGTTGTGACGGTGTCAGATTAACTCGCGCATGCTCGAGCAGCATCAGGCAAGGAAAGAGTCCTCAATTTATAATATTTTAGCAAGTTTATTACCTACAGACAGCTTTATGCACCAGCTAAGTGTGTCCTGTCTCTTCCCGGTGCAGCCCTGCGGGAGTTTGAAGGCGAGCAATGGTATCCTCTTCTTCGAAGTGTGTACGACCGACAAGCAGTCGGACAGTTTCCTCATCCACATTTACAAGTTATTAAATTAAATTGGATAGATATGCTCTTTGTCATTAATTTATTGAAATTTATGCACCATCTATTTGCCACTCTCACCAAGCTCCGCTAGAAACTCGAGTTTACCGGTGTGTTGTCAGACTCGAGGCAGCACGGCAAAAACAAACATTGTAACACAATGTGACGGACGTCATTTTCACCTCCGCAACCCGATGTCAATCTCAGCAAAACGGACACGGATGGACATTCGGACAGACACACTCGCACATGGGAAGAAAACCAATCAAAATTAATGTAAATTGTAGCTCATCTACATTGCACGATTACGAGTCAAGGTAGGGAAACGATCGCGAAGTACTTACGAAAGATGACTTCACTCGTGCGATTTGACAGTCGCTAAGCAACTGTCATAAAAACGGAACGCTTCCATTCAATTTGTTTACCATTTGTGTAATTAAATTAAAGACTATTTAGTGCCGTAGCCGTCGCCTTCGCGCGGCACTGTTGCAGCTCGGAACAGCGTCCATTTCGTTTTTTATAGCGAATAGAAAACACTTCTGACTAATTTCTTTCGGGCGCTGTGTACCACCGCCGTCGCCGCCAAGCCCTAATGGTATTGTGTGGCACTTCAACCGACCCACGCACTCAATTACGAACACCGCATGGACCATTAGAAGAAGGTGACAATCCAAATGGCAGCACACAAGGGACCAAAACGTCAATTTGCTGATTTATACCGATCGCACCGGGTCCAATTAATCATAAAGCGTGCCTTCCTTCTTTCAGGGTATTGAATCTGAGTGTGGGAGGAAGTCGATCAATTTGGAGGAATTTTTCAATCAACGCCGAAGGTGGTGTTGTGTTGGCGTAGACTAGCGGTGAATTTGAGTGCGTTTTGAGGGTTTGGTAAAGCGGTTAAATTTGCTGTTTCAAGCTTCATGGCAAAATTCAGAATGATTTTTTCATCGGATTTATGGAAGTTTGTCCCTCTTAGCGAAATGGCAATGTGAATAATTACACTCGGTGAAGTATGCTGATCGGGATACTAAGGGAAGATACATAAATGACGGAGCATTTTAGGGTGACGTTTGTTAACGTTTGATGAAGCAGCAACAGCCCCTCCCTTTTCAATGGATTTGTCTTTATGGGTGGTCACCCTAAAATTCTACGTCATTTATGCATTTACCATTATTTAAATTAGTTGTGGTAACTCAATTTTGAATAGCTTCTATCAGGGTTGCTTCCACTCACTTGCTATAAAAACATATTTTTCGGAATTATGCAATCATTAAATGTTATAATGATATGATGTACTAGTAAGTAGCAAGAAGAGGGTGTAAAGTATGTGTTTGACTCATAAAACCTGTCAATTTCACTTTCAGAGCATCACAATCAACGATCTTATGATTCGTGAGCGTTCACTCAGAGTGAGCGCTCACGAGTCGTAAATTCGTTGATTGTGACGCACTGAAAGCAATATTGACAGATTTTATGTGTCAAACATATACTTCATGACCTCTTCTTGTAACTTACAAGTACTAATTAGCATTATACTATTTCATGATTTCATAATTCCGAAAAACATTTGTTTATAGCAAGTGAGTGGAAGTAACCCTGGCTTCTATGTCCTATGTCTACCATGGCCTGCACGGTATTTTTCCAATATTGATACGTACAATCTTTGAACTTTTGGTTGTATGCACCAATATTGAAAATCCACCGCTCAGATTGCGGTAGAAAGCTAATCAAGTTAAGCGATTGTTTTTATCGACAAATGGACATAGGACCAAGTAAAAATTAATCGAGAACTTTTGTCACAAACATGTTTACCTTCTTGTTCTCATCCGATCGGGAGAAATAACGATGTTCGTGTGCCGTAGGGATGTTCAAATTTTCCAATTGATCGACTCTTTGCTTGTCGATTAATATTTACGTTTAGTTACCTGATGATTCAACATAGATGGCCCACAGAAACTCACGAAGTGCTACTGATCCCGATCAATAGCGGTGCGGCTTCTTCCTCCTTCTATGGATGCTCATGTGGGCTGCAGCTCGCTGTTTTCCGGTAGCCTTTCGTTGTGTACTGGAGAACACCACCACTCACCACGCGGTGAGACCGGATGGAATCCAACTTTGAAATCTGTGTTAGGGAAATCGCTTTTCGCAGGCAATCGGTGATAATTTTAATTATCATAGCAACAATTGCACATTCGTCCAATTTTCAATAGTGACATTTTCACAAATAATAAAGTCTTAATTTTAGCAGATGCGTAGAAATATTTCTGATCGATTGGTGATAAAATTATTGAAATTGGTCCAGGGGCAGCTGAGTTATTAACGTTAAAAATCTTTCATAATTTTGTTACATGTTCCATTTTTGGTTTTCACAAAGTGTATTCCCATATAGAAATCACAGACGTAGTCCTACGTCAAAAACGTGTAAAAAACCGCGTAAAAAGCGACTCCAGTGTCTAACGATAAACCGCGTAAATTCTGAGATCCGTGTAAAAAAATCCGAAATCCGCGTAAAAAAAACGCGAAAATTCCAAAATCCGCGTAAAATAAAACCGTGTAGATTCTGAAATCCACGTAAAAAAACCCGCATAAAAAACCGTGTAAAATAAAAAACCGCGTAAAAAGTGACTCCAGTGTACTTTTTTCGGATACCTTACGAGTTAACCGCAGAGGCTTTTGATATCTACTGTAAATTCCTACCCAGCAAGCAATGTTAGCTGCAGAAATTAGAATTGGCATAATTTTTTGCCTGTTGGTAAAATAGTTGTTGGGTACTCCAGAATTCTTTCTTACTATCTCCAGAGGACTAGCGAGTGTTGCCACATAAGGCACTTTATATATAACCTCAGGAATGATACCTTAAGACCTCTGAACTGGTGAATGAACTTGTCAAATAACATCAAACACATAGGTACTTTTCAAACTCTTTTTGTCATTTATAGGAACAAACCATCATTATTAGCAACTGATGATTTAATAATTCCGAGACACTTTTTAATAACGAAGTGAGTGGGTGCTATATTAACTAGTTGTTGGCATATTTTTACAAGTGCCCAGCTTATCTTTTCGATTGTGGATTAATCAAGTCGACCCTTTTTGTGCGTGTTCTTATGTTCCTTTTTTTCAAATAAAACCAAGCTTGATGCAACTGGTGCCAATATATCAGACAGACATTTTCTAACTTCACACAAAAAAAAAACAAAAAATGGAAAAATGTTCACGTGTTAAACAAGGTTTGGGTGTAATTCGCTAAATCATGAAGCAATCGAACATCCCTACGTGTGTATGCGAATGCGAAAAAAAAAACAAACCCATGTAACGAAGAGTAATCGACCGTTAGCCATAAGCTGACAGGTCACATGTTGGCATTCTTTATTATTATTTTTATAAGCGCCAACGAAGGTAGGTACAAAAACACACTTTGGTAATTAATCTCCGCAGAGTGACCAACCAATTTGCGGAATGTGTCAAACTCTTGTTTCGTTGGGGCCAAAATGCGTGCGTAGCCGATGTTAAGGGAGTGTGTGGGTGAGAGAGCTGTCAAGAAATAAGGGCCCACGTGTCATGTAGCGAGCATGTCAACAAAGTAGGCACAGTTGTTGGCCTATTGTTGTTTAACATTTTTCTTTCTTAACGAGACACGTGTGCGCGCATTTTTTTGGGCGACGTGACGACGACGACGACGACGGTGGAATGTCGTCGAATTGCATGTTTACAAGCATATTCGAGCTCTGCTGACTGGTGTGTGAAAGTAATTTCAGACCCCGCGTATCTTGTGAGTGTAGTTTGAAGGAAAATGGATACCTGGTACACCTGCAAACCGGTGAAGTAAGTCCACTTGAATGTACGTACCTCCATTAGGCGGTGAAAAATGATCAAAATTCCAATTAAAATCAATTCCCCATAGGTCACCGTTGACCCCGGTGGGGCAGATGAGGGAAAAATCTCATCTGCCTCCAGCTGGGAAATTTGACAGCAAAGTAGATGGGAAGCAACTTATGATCGTTCTTGGACGGCTGCGCGCATAATTGAAATCCACGTCAGCCATGTGCGCTCGCACATATTATTATTGATAGTCCGCAGTCTACGACTCTGGAGTGTGATTGCTCAGCAATATTTTGCCTAAGTAGCCAGTTTGTTTTAATTAGCTGCAGAAATGGTTAATGGTCATTACGCGCAGTCGTAAATCGTCTTCGACTCGACTATCTGTACGTTCCATCCTGATCAATAAATCCACCAAACAAATGAGCCTCGTGAGATCCGTCCGTCCATCCACACACAGCAAAACGAAGGAATCCGTTACAATCACCCTTTCCCTTCCGAGAGCTACGAAACGCAGAACAGCGCGGTAAGATTTCATCCTTTTCCATAGAAAGAGAGAACACGATGCAAACGGATCGACCAGCACACCGAACCGCACCACCGACTATCCATAAATATTAAAATGAAATAATATTATTATTTTTACTTATATGATTTATCATTACATTATTGCCGCTTCGTTTCGATTCTTAGTCGTTCGAGTGCTTCTTGGCTGGGATGCAGCACTTGCGTAATATAGTTTGCTCCTAACCTTGGGAGCCTAGCTAGACTTTCCGTCCCGTAGCGAGTACGTTATACAAAAAAACACATTCCATGGAAATGCGATTATTCCTAATGTATGTGATTCGAGTGAGAATGACGCACACTCTCGGATTGATTAGCAAAAAAAATCAAAGAGTACGAACTTACCTTAGCGGAACTTTCCAGTGGATTCCAGTACACGGCGATGGCGTTGTGTGACACTTCCTCGATGCAACCGACTAGACCTACGGAGTTTTTCGTATCTGTTCCGAGGGCGAAAAAAGAAACATAGAAAGGAAGATGATTAAGCGGAATCACTGGTCTGGTTGAACAGTACATGCGCGAGGACCTCGTCCCTAAGTGGCATTGTTTACTAATTTAAAATAAATTACTTAATTGCTGAGCTCGGAGTGACCGGGGTATTCTAGAACAGGAAGGAATGGGATCACACACGGAGGGAGCCGTGGCTTCCAGCGCTAAATTCCGGTGTATTTTAATGAATGTTTACTTAATGGAACGCCGTCGAGCATCAGCGGTCAGCACGTGTATATGCAAAGTTGTTTTTTTTTATTAAGCCACCACCAGACTGTGGATTGTGAGGCGAAGGATCAGCGGCTGGAGGAAGGGGATCGGAACACTTGTAGAGTGGGTACTTATAATGTTATCTTATTGTTTCTTGAGTGGCTTCTTGAGAATGAAGTAGGTATACTTTCCAACTGGTGGCGGATGGAGTTTTGTGACGGCGATCGGTGTAGGGAATTCTTACAAGTGTAGTTTACAAAGTGTAGGGGAACTTGGGGATTGGGCTGTTTCTGTTTGCAAAAATTTAATCCCATCATGATTTCTCGTTTTACTTAAAACACATCTTACGCTGTGAATAATCTGTCACTTAGTCGAGCAGTTTTGCGGTGAGCTTCTGCCAGACATTTTAACCCTCTATTGCCCAAGCACGTCTTTTGACGGAGGTAATTGAAAGGCTGGAACAAAGGTAGTTGATATTTTGATCAAATATGCTACCAGTGGTGGTAAAGAATATGTAGGATAAATTGGTGAAAAAACATTGCATTGCTGATGGGGCGACCCCGGCGTATTGGTTAGCATCCATGCCTCTCACGCCAAAGTCATGAGTTCAAATCTCACTCCCAAAAAAATCACGAATGATCCAAGTCTAACGCACTTGGGTTCCCAACAAACAAATTTAGCTGCAGCTTAGCTTATACAGGCAAAAAAAAAACGCTGCATAAGGCAAATTTTGGCTCTATAAGCTAAACTGCAACTAAAATTGTTTGTTGGGTTACGCACGTGACTAATAAAAAACATGGTCTTAGCAAAACTGAAAAATAATGCAGTAAACTTAAAATAATTAATTCGGTCGTAGCCAACTATAATCCTAATATTTTTGGCTGGAATTAGGACTTTTTCAGTTGAAAATGGTTTCAACAAAACCATTTTAGATGAGCTAAATTAGTCTAGAGAAGCATTTCTCAATCTAAGGGTCGCGATCCACTTGTAAGTGAGTCACAGGAATTAAAAAATATATGGACCCAAACTGAGTTAAAATTTGCACCTATTTGTTTATAACGGTTAAAGTTTCGATTTTTTAGTAAAGTATCACAAAATACCCTTTGATAAAAACGTAATTTTTTTAGGCGAGTTTATTATTATTAAAAAGTACCATTTCGGCGTATCTCTGGGCGTTGTGCTTTTCGTGGTGGACATTTTTTTTTTAAACCTATTATGCAGGTTTTAAACCTGATGGTAGAAGGAAATTTAACTCCGCTTCTCGTGATCTAATTTCGATTGCGCTATTCCAAGTAAAATTTGACTTCGCTTCTTGTAATTCATATTCGATTGCACTTTTCCTGATGAAAATCTTATTTTTTTATTTATTTTTTGGTCTGGTGCTAAGTAGTCTTTATTTTTTTTATTGATTAATTTATGATCGCTTCTTGTAATCCAAATTAGTTGCGCTTTTTGTAGTAAAATTTGACTATGCTTCTCGTAATTTAAATTCGATTGCGCTTTACCACGTAAAATTTGACTTCGCTTCTTGTAATGCATATTCGATTGCACTTTTCCTGATGAAAATATTATTATTATTTTTTGGTCTGGTGCTAAGTACCCAAGTAACCATCAAGCCCGCTAATCGCCCTTTGTAATATAAAGCTGATAGACGGCTTATAAAAAGTATGGAAGCCCTATATTAACCTTATATTGCACAAAAGGCGAATATCGGGCTATTAGCGGGCTTGGTGGTTACTTGGGTAGTCGTCGACTACCCAAGACTTCCCACAACCATAACACTGTCGCTAGCTATTGAGGCTTTCAAGGGCGATTCAATGCAATTTTTTAGCGTTTTCAAGAAATTCTTGGTGTTGTAGGGTAATTTTGGTTGTTCTAGGTCATTTTAGCGTTAATAAACTTTTGAAGATTAAGGACTAATTTGTCGACTCTTGGTCAGTTTTGGCGTTTGAGGAGCCATTATTCGATTTAGAACCCTCTAATTTAACGTATCTGAAACCTTTTCAACTTTGGGTAAATTTTTTATAACAATATTGGTGGGTCTCGAGATTATGGAATTTCTCAAAGACGGTCGCAGTCAACGAAAGTTTGAGAACCACTGGTCTGGATTTTCTTAAATTTTTCTTATTGATGTTCAGGCCTCTTGAAACAAAATATGCTCGATTATTGGAAAGATGAAAACCATTATTCGGGCAGTAGAGGGTTAATAAAATGTTCCTTCATTTTTTTAAATTCACGAAAATCTACATAGTATATGAGTTCCACTGAAAGTAGATAGTTCTGCTTATTAGAAGTTTGCAAAGTAACAATACAAATAAACCATAACTTTCCTTTAAGCTTATAGGCTTTGCTGAAATTCGAAGACATGTTTGCTATGCATTTTCCAACGATGATATAAATTTTCTCAAACAACTTGATTTGATTTTATTTTTATGGATACTAGGATTAAATCTGCTACGGGCGACATACTGATTAATAGGTGTTGGAAGATGGTAACTTCAATCAATCAATGAATGTTATCATCTGTATGCTTGGCAAATCCGAGAAAAAAAGCTGCGCCATGATTATTCATTTATCATTTGATCTCAAAACACTGACATCCGAGCCAGATTTATCAAAATGATCTAACAGACGCCTCCCTTAGCTCACTCGGTAAAGGCGCAGCTACAAAGCAAGACCATGCTAGAGGTGGCTGGGTTCAATTCCCGGTCCGGTCTAGGAACTTTTCGGGTTGGAAAATTTCTCGACTTCCCTGGGCATAGAAGTATGATTGGACTTGCCACACAATTATACCAATGCAAAAATGGTACAGGCATCGAAAGCACTCAATTAATAACTATGGAAGTGCATCTAGAACACTAAGTTGAGAGCACGCAATAAGCTAATATGCGATATGCAATAAGCTTGAAAAGCGAAGAAGAAGAAGAAGAAGAAGAACAGACGCCAGAACATTTTGCTGGACAGATCGTCGAAATAGCTTGCAAAGAAACATTGGCTTTAGATATGCAATATGACCTTATACATTCAAAAATCAGCATCGCTATTCGGCGAAGACTATTAGGCCGAATGGTCATTAGGTCGAATGGTCATAGGCCGAACGGTTATTAGGTCAAATGGTCACTAGATCAAATTTCGGAAACACATTTCTTAACACTTGATCTGAAAAAGAGGATAAGCAGCAAATAATAGAAGGATGAATAAGGCTAGTAAATATTAGATCCAAAGTACCAATAATTATTACGTCTCATGTCAGGAATATCAAGAAAAAAAACGACAAAGCAAACTATCACTCAGTCAGTGAATTTTAATCATTGCGTAAAATCTCCCCTCATTTAATTTAGAGTTATAGTTGGCTTAACCATCGAATTTTTGTACAAGCTTGTACACAATAGTGCCAATTAAAGAGACATCGCGCTTAAATTTACATGAAATATCGTGTGAATTTACGCCAAATCTAGCGTTAATAACGTGTGTGCTAAATATCGTAGAAAATTGCATGATTTTTTCAAACGGTGTAGCTGTGCGAAAAGAATGACCATCTTTTAATTGAAAGAAAATTAATTTGATGGCACATTTTATTCATTTTGCAAACTTCACGTAAAACTCGGAAGTTTTGCTCATGTTTGAAAGAAGGATACATTCTTAAAAATATTGCAATTTAACTGCTTTCCAAATTTGAATCTTTTAAATTTCTGGGTTATGTATGAAATCCCTTCTATTCCGGATAGAAAATTGCATATATTATTCATGGTGCCAAAAATCACGAAAATTGTAAAACTCTAAAGAACTTCAAATAAAGGAAACATCCTTATGTAACATTGCATTTTAATTTCTTACCAAACTGCCAAAAATTCAATAACGAAAAAAAAACAATCAAGTCCCATAGATTGGTGTGAGAAAAGAACGAGCATCTTTTGAACCAAGGAAAATTAATGTGATGGCACATTTGATTTGTGATGTTAAAATTAATGAAACTCCTAAAAACCGAAAGATCTGCTCACATTTGAAAGAAGGAAAATTTCTTAAAAACATTGCAAACTTGAATCTATTAAACTGTCCGAAATCTCTCAAAAAGTTTTCCTAGTCCAAATATCTTAGTATTGAAAATCTTAGAAGCATAACAAGCGAGCTTGTCACAATTAATTTAAGTCTGGGTATGATGACCATTTGGCCTAGTGACCATTCGGCTTGATGACCTAATGGTCGGACATCACATTTAAAATAACCAAAAAGCCAATGTAGATTAAAACCTCAAAACGAAATTCATGCCATTTTAATTATCAGAAATAAATAATAACCAATAATGTACCCACTGAATTCAGGTCACTGAAGTCGATAAAATTTCAAATGATCATTACATGTAAGATATTAATCAAATCGACTAATTTAATTTTTTATAATTTAGTCAAGTTCGGAATAATTTTGATTATTCCATCCAGATTATAAATTCAAGCATAAATACAAGCATACTAAACATTTTCATACTTATGACCAAGATATCTGAGTTCCTGTGACCCATCTAAGTACAGCCTGCGACCCACCGATGGGTCAAGAAACGCTGATTTGACCAAATACTGTTTGGTCGAGCGTCATTTGGCCGAAAACTGATTACTGCAAGCTTAATTTGCAGTGCCCTAAATAACGAGAACAGTATAGAAACAAAGAACTGCTCATGTCAAAAAGAAGTGAAAATACCCTAATATTATTGAAATCAAATATCTTATTGTAATTTTGAATCCTCATTCTCAGAAAAAAAAAACTTTACAAAGCTATTCGCTTTTTACAATACCGTTCCAGGGATCGATTCTCGTTCATACTGGTGGATCTTTTCATAAAATAGAAACTTCCCTACTGTTGGTTTTGAAGAAGCAGACCTAACAGTGATGCAATAATGGCAATATCAGAAATTTCATCAAAAGTGACTATTGGTTGCTGAGTCTAGGAATATGTTTTGGTGAGTTTCAGCTGTCAAACGATTTTTTTTTTGCTGAGTGATCTCAGCACCCTTAATTGCCGATCTACTCAGCGGTACCAACATTATCGAGATTCGTCATTCAAAACTAAGTGTGTAGTATAGTTTGAAAATTTAATAATTCTCTCAAATATTCGGCCGGATAGCAATTGGACAAATAAGACGTTCGGTCAAATGATATTCGCACAAACGGCATTCAGCATTAACGAAGACAACATATCAAGAAGACTGGCAACTTTGCCTGAATCCGAGCGTCAGACACAGTAGCGCTGCGCTGCGAGCAAATTCACAAACCTTTATTCTGAGGATGGTGCCTGTCTCATACTGGTCGTTTGAAAAAATGGAAGAGTAGCCAGTCTTCTTGATATGCTGTGTTCGTTAACGACAGATACAGCACTATTTGAATTATTTATGAGATTACTTAGAGGAACTTGAATATTCCGGGGTATTTTCAGGAGTTTTTAATGGTGACGGAGGTGAATGAAGGAACTTTGAGGGCTAAATCCAACAATAATTTACACATAATTTAGGAAAATTTCCATAAGATTCATTGGGCTCACATAAATCTCATTAAATGCATAAATAGGGGAAATGGATGTAATGTCGGCCTAAATGCCCCTAATTTGGGCCCATACATAATTTCAGCAATCGACTAAATTTTCAATAGCGACCAAAATATCCATTACTACCGTCCAATGACGCGTTCATCTAGATAAAATTGATAAATAGCAGATTTTTAGCGTTGGGCCCAATATTATATCCATAGGCCAACAGAAGAGTCATTTCCCCTACCATGAAAAGTATGTCAATGTATGTGACCGACCCATTGAAAATATTTGGTTAGTTCTGTAGTAAATCCATGTGTGGCATGAAAACAATAGACTTTTGACCACGTTTTTTTGGGGTGGCATGCTTCGCTAGATTTCGGACCAACTTACACGACAGGTACGGCAAAGAGACATCAAACTTGCTGAAAATTACATTGATAGAGGAAAGTGAGCTTAGAATTATGTTTCAGTGTGGGTTCAGAATGCTTCAAGATGATGGAATCACATAGACTTGATGATTAAAATTTTCTCGACATTTCATTTCAATATTCGATTGATTATCACTGGGGTCTTTGGTTTTTCCTGCAGCATCTGTCCCTAGTGCCTTATCATAGAATTACTCAACGAAAGTTTAAGAACTGTCCGCAGTCAAGATCTGCTTTAAAATACAATTCTTCGATTTAAATTTACTAAACTAAACATTGCCGAATTTCTTCCACAGCCCTACTTTAAAAGTAGTCGTCCCAACTCCTCTATTGCTTCCACTCGAATTGCGTTGTTCAAAAGTTAAAAACACTCATGCAACTCTTTTCGACGCGTTCAAGCACATCATAGCACCTGTGTAGATGGTGGATGCTGAGTCCCCACTCACTTGGCGATGACGACGGTAGCCATCATTTTCACCACTCCACATAAGGAGAACCTCCACTATAGCACAATGTAGCGATTGTAGAGCAGTACCTTGACCACCACCGCCACCTAGCTGCTGGTAAGCTGGAGAGGTGAGCCATTAATTATGTGCTTACTTTGTTTTACAATTTTTGCCTCCACGCCGCTCCTCTCGCTGGTGGCTGTGTTCAAATTGGCGGCGCAGTTTTGCCAAGTTCGAAAAAATAAAAATGAAGGATAATTGCAGGCTGGCTGGAAGCTGAAAAGCGATTCCAATTGAAAATAATCTGCCGCACCGAGGAGGAGGCTTGCGCCCGGGTGAGCGTGCGAGTGTGTGTGTGATTAATTAGCACAAAATGAGGGGGTTCTGCTCGTGCCATGATCATTTGGCGTTAGATGATGAGTTCTCCTAGGGAGGGAGTGTGAGGAATTCAGAACATTCTAGAACTAGTTGCTATCAGAATAACAGTAAAGATGGTGATAATTTCTTCGAACGTTAGTAGGTACTAATAAGCCACATGGTTGGAACGGCGCTGAATGACCCTACAAGGTGCAATGCGCAAGATTGCAAAAACATGATAAAATTACGTTTAATCGTTATGATCGGTCATTTGCAGAGTGCGCCTTCGGGAGGTGATCTTCGGTAGAATCACATCCCCTTAATTCAAATGGGCCTTATTCCCAGGGAAGCCCCAGCATGAGGTTTCCGCACTCACGTTCTGCAGGTCCGATATGGGACGAGCAATTATCGGATCCCGCCAGGTGATGCCTCAACCACCTGGTGCGATTGTCATCGGTTCTGCGAAAACCCGTTCGCAAACAATCACATTTACCATAAATCTACGCCCGGTTATTGTGTGCCATAATCGATAAAAATAATTAAATAATTGTTGTCTCTCAATCGCTTCGCCTGGAGAACGGCGTGACTATGTCTCAAGAGCCTGATGCTATGTTTGCTATGGAAAGCCTTCCTACCCATTCTCACCTACGATCACCGACGTTAGAAATTATGATTTACCTCTCGAAAACGTGCTGATCTTTTCTAAATAACCGGCCTTCCAAACTGTTCAATAACTTAAGCCATCTAATAGCCTATTTTTTTCGCTACTAAGCCCCTCTCAGCATTTGCATATGCATAACCCAGCGAGCGGAGCATGGGTCAGTGACACTTGACTTACCGGCATCCAGTATCCGCTGCTTGACTGAGTGCTGCCGACTGTGCCAAAAGTGCCAGGCTTTGATTTCGTCCTCGGGGCTCTTCTCCTCGCGGAACATCAGCATGATGACGCTCTGTGGATGAGATTGGGAGAAATTAGTTGACTGAGCAAATATTTCATCGTTGAAAATTGATAAGGCTACGTCACGAACTAATAATTTTCGTTATCATCATAAACACATTTCTTCCAGTTCAGGGAAATGCAGGGGGTAAGGAAGGAAATTTTCATTTTCCGGTTAGCACAGAATTAACAACGGTTTTCAACAACAGCCACGCAGTGCTGAACGATGTATGTTGTTAGCTGGCAGCAGCGCGAACCCCCGGAATGAGGAAGGGGCGATCGTGTAGACCTCGATAACAAGTTGTAGTAATTAAGTGCACCGGGGTCCTGCAACAGGGCGAATCCGGTAAAGGGCAAGTGGAAGCAAACGTGGTCGTGGTTGAACATAATTGAAACATTTTAATAATGAAGAGAGGTGGGCGGGGGGGGGGGGGGGGGGGGAGAAGGCAAGAGGAGATGGTTCTGAGTTGGAAACTTGGCTGAAGGAAATGGTTCTGTAAAGCTGATAAAATGACTACGATTCATCGTGGGTCTGAAGCATGGCATAAAAGTGTATGAAGGAGGGTAATTTAAGAACTTGGAAGCAATGTTGAATTGATTTGTTTTGCGTTTGGTTTGTTTTTGCATTGAATGGTGCTGTTAGTGGAATAACAAGAGTTGATTAGTAAAACATTCTCTCAAATCAATTTACATAAATTAAAACGTTTTACGACAGAACACTTTTCTTGGGTTTGAAGCTTGCAGTATAAGTTCAAAGTTGCGACTTGCAATAAGATTCAACTCATGATAAAATTTGTGATTTATGTCTTTGAGGTATACGTATATTTTTTGCTTTTATCCATGTAGCTATGTATACTAGAAGAATTCTCAAATAGCAATTCGGAATAATGTATCAATGAGTGCGTGCTCGTTGTATTGTCATACCATACCATTATTACACCTATAGTAATACACTTTTGTCAAGATTTTCCGTTGATGAATTCTCACGAAGACGAGAAAATTGAAATTCATTGATTTTCCTAATTAATTTTCTCTTTTGTTAATAACACGGCTGTTAATGCATTTCCCTAAGAGGTAGAGGAAAACAGCAAAACCAGAGCAAAATAATATAAAATTTTACTATCAATATCTTATGATGTTATTTGGAAGTTGTGTGCTATAATAAGTTAATAGCTTATTCTCTGCTATCAAAGCACAATTTTCCATTGTTAAGATATTTTAATATCATGAATTCATGAGCTAATGTTGATCTGATAGCAGGATAAGCTATTAATATGTTATTAAATTGATTAATTTTTTGATTTGATATTCTCGCCGTTGAATACGACTCAATATTGATTTAAATAGGGTCAGAAGTGAATTTTCGTCGATTTCACTAAAAAATCTGCTAGAAAATGAGGAAAACCGAGGAAAATTTTACTCAGTCTGAGTTTTGGAGAATTTGAGTAAACGAAACTCAAATTTGAGTTGGTTCGTTGAGATCGTGTACAAGCTAAACACATCATTTACCGACCGAGATTAATGTATCTTATTCAAGGGAATTTGACATCTACGTGTATTAAGATACCTGGTCATCTACCGATTTATTGGAAGATGATCAAATCCTAACATCAGAGCACTGATTCGGTTCCGTAGTCTGTAGGATCTTACCCGCTCTTTTTGTTCATGATCTCTATCTCATGTTAGGCAACAGCGGTGAACGCTTAAAACAAATGCTCCATGTTCATATATAATTCTAGTTTTTCAAATCTTTGAAAATGCGCTAACATTAATAAAGTTTTGGTATGCAATCGCGTCCAATGACATCCATTTTTAATCCATTCCAATGTAGTCGCAGTATTTATGACAACTGGCTGAACTTTAAAGTTATTTACTGTCCAATGATTTTCACAAACGAACTGGAAATCATCGTTTCCAATGCTCATTCAGCCACGTCTGTAGTGAACTTTTTAACTGTGTGACTTTTCGGCCCTTTGGGGTGCCGTGGGATCCGTGGGTACACATGAATTTTATTAGTCTCAGTAACCTACAGCATGTTCAGCCTAATGGTGTTTGGCCTAATGACCCATTACCGCAATACAGTAGTATTCCATAATATTGTATGAACTTTATTTTAGCTAGGTAAAGAACAAGATTATGTATCTATGACCCCATTTGTTGGGGTCCCCTATTCCAAACTTGGGCTTAACAATATCTAGCGTTCATAATCTTCTTCTTCTTTAACATTATTATGTCCACACTGGGAATTTACACCGTTGAGGGCCGGTGATATTTTGAGTACGTCCACAGTCGTTAATCGAGCGCTTTATAATCCTGTCACATTTTTGCATTAGTATATATCGTGTGGCAAGTGCAATCATACTCTCTGTCTAGGGAAGCCGAGACATTTTCCATCTCGAAAAAATCCTAGACTGAATCAGGAATCGAACCCACCCACCCCCAGCATGGTCTTGCTTTATAAATGTGCCTTTACCGGCAGAACTAAGAGAGGCCCGTTTTGAGACATGAAGACCTAAATGAAATGATCAATTCTTCTGAGCATGAGCAGCATTATTGACCTACAGGATAGTCCGTTATTGCCAAATCAAATATTATTACATAGATAATCAACGGATGAAGCTTGAAACTACCATTCATCCTCAATGTGTAAACACTGATGATCTCATACATTACAATAGGCAATACCAGAGCTGGCCGCGTCCAAATGCAGGTAATTTGTAGGAAAATTTTGGCGTGATACTCGCTTTGTTCCAAGTCGAGAAATCCTCTGCACTTTACTGGCACGTTGGATAAAAGGGTTGGGTTGGTAGCAGGGTTAGTTTTGGTAAACGATACGCTGAAAGGATGTGTTGATGTTGAGTGATAGCAATGCGAGACTAACGACTCTATAGCAGTGGTGCAAAAATCATTATCAATACCTACAAAATGCTGAATTTCACATGTCAGTATAAATTTACACAGTTTGAATATCAATGTCATTTTCCTCAATGTCAGTGCGCAAATGACATTGACATAGCAAAGGGACCACGGATACCTAAAGTTCAGCCGCAGTTTTTTTCTTCTTGTATACGCCAGCTAATCGAGTACCGATCTTTAGAAAACTCCTCACTTATATTGAAACAATGCAGCGGTTATTGAGATAAAAGTAAGCTTTTAAACTTTTCCCTAGTGATATTTAGTTAGTAGTGTCAAAGCTATATCTCTTGATATCATGCTTACTACGAATATCAGTATCGGAAGTGAAATTCAGTGCAATATCTTCTGTCAGTCAATTGACATTGTTGACAGCACGAAGCACTTTTTGCGTGCCACAAGTTGTATGTTGTGATATAAGGGGCTTCGTGGTCTTAAAGCGACCGTTTTTGCTTACTGAGCAGAAAATTGTTGGTTCAATATGAGTACGCGATGAGTAAGCGATGCGTCACTAACGGCTCTATAAAGTGAAGGAACCTGGGATTGAACTCCCGATCTTTTGCTCAGAAAGCGAAAACGGTCATCTTAAATAAATAACTATAACAGACAATCGAGCTGCTGCCCCACCGTACAAGCCTAGTTATAACAAGGACTGTCATGCTATTAACATCTCTATTCTATAGAGGTTCTGTAGATAGAATGCGCAGTGGTGCACAATGGAATCCTAGCAGAAAAAAGTGCTAAAACGTGCATTTTATTATTTGTCTCTTTGGAGAACTTGATTTACATGATGAGTTTGTTCTGTTAAGGCATTTTATCGTTCGTTTATGTCACTCAGCGTATTTTTAAATAATATAGAGATTTTTGAAATGAACTTGTTTAACTACGTAAAGCCTGGTACGCAGCTGAAAAGTAATGATGTTTTTCGTGCTGCGGGATAGGACTCGGAATGCTAAATGAATTACTTTTCTTTAGCATTTCTTGACCAAGTACGCAGTTCAAAAGAAATCGCTAAAGGAAAGACCGATTACATTAGTATCGTGAACGAGATGAAGGTGGCGCTTTTTGAATTAAATTTCTCAAAATTTAACAAAAGACACCTCCCTATAGCTGTCAAATTTTCTTTTTGGAATAATCCTCAAAAATTACTTTTCCGTTTTCTTTTCAGCTGCGTACCAGCCTTAAGGATATAAACGAAGATTGAAACTATGTTCAGTGCGTGAATCAAGAGGAAAATTCATGGGTTGTGTGTGTAGTGGTGTTTACACAATTTTGATTGCCTCTGAGTCTGAACGGCATGCTAAAGATGCAAAAACCAGCAGCAGTTCCAGCGTATTTATGTTATCGAGATGAAAAAAAAGGAGGACGAATACGGTTAGCGGAACATCGTTAGAGGCGTAGCTGTTGCTTACAAAACAATGTGCAAGCGATTTGAACCATGCCATTTTTGAGGGATCGGTGTGATCAGTCCATATTTTATATTATTTTGCGAACAATTTCAATTTGTATTTGACAACAAGCTGGGTTGTTGATCATGTAGACATGATTTATTTTCCATATTGCCACTGCTGACCAGTGAGAGTTGTATTGAAGAAACAAAGTCACACGCAAAGATATCCGATTCAAGCTGCCCACAAAGCTTTTTCTTTCCTTCTTCTTTTTTTTCTGAAAGTGAGAAATGGCGCAAAATGGTGCTCATGTTTTAGCAACTATTTATTAATTACATAACAACGAAACGTACGGTACGAGAGTCCATGTTTCATCCATTTATTAGATTCTAAAGCATCGTGTTTCAATCATAGATTTAATCAGACCCGATGTTTCTGAATCATCTTACCCCTTAAATGCCACACAGTTGTCCTGGCCGTTTTGATATGTGTTGCGCATCTGTGATGTATAATATATATAAAATAGACATGAAAGATAATGGAGGTCCTATATCCGTAATTTTTCAGGATGCTTTCAAGAACTGGCTGTGTTGGTGTTGGATTAGATGATTAGCTCGATCTTTGGAACTTAACTTTTTCATGTTTATTTCACCTTGTAGTGAGGTGGATTTTTTTATGAGTGGACATAGCAAATAATATTCTGAAGGTAAAT